TGTTTTCAAATCAATTAGCCACACTGATACAGTAAAGTGCAAGATGGTTCAACCGACAGTTCTCCAGGGCTTCAGCCACACAGTTAGGTGTTAGTCTCTTTCCTTCTGTTTGACCTTCTGACCATTAACAAAACACAGCTCATTTGACCACTGATTTTTTTCCTCAAGGGCGTTACAGTCCGGTTCCTGCGAGACGAGCTTCAGCTGCGTATCAAGCCCACCCACAGTGGGACATTGCAGTCAATAGGCTGTAGTGTAAGCTGAGCGGTTTAAGAAGTGCTCAGGCAGCTTGTGAACGTGCAACAGTAACAGGTGTCCAGGACGGGAGGATGTCTCAACAGTATGTCTTAAAGTGTGACGTCTCCTTTCACAGGGTCTCCTTGGGGCTGGTAAGTCAAAGTCGACTCTGCTAAGGAGTGCTCTCAAGAAAGCCTCCATGTGCTGTCCACTGGACATCATTGCAGTGTGTTTCAAAATACTGTATTCCTACAACCAAATCATGGATCAGGTCAGTCAGTATCTTTCATTCGTCTTGGCTTGTGGGATGTCCCTGGCCATTCTGATCATAGTCTCTGGAGATCGGTTAAAGGAAGGATCAGTTTGGGGGAGTAAAGTTCCCTTCCATTCAGCTCTCCTGTCTCACGGCCACCTGAAAGCCACCACACAAAGAAAGGGATTTTCCAGAACACTCCCAAACAGCATGAAAACAACTGTGTGTTTTCTACGTATTATTTAATAGCATACAGGTAAGTCTGTGCTCTAATATTGCATATTCTCCAGTGTCAAGAACAGCTTATGTCGAAATGTGTCATGCCTACAGGTAGAATGTGCATGCACTGTGTGTGTAGTGTGTGTATGTGGTGTGTTAGTGTACCTAGGAAGAATGTCTGCTGCAGAGCTTGCAGGTATGCGGTCCACCACAGGTGTCAGGTGCTCCTCAAAACATGATGTTGAGTGGGAGATCTCCAATGAAGAAGCACGCACAAAATTCCCAATGACTTAAGACCACCAGAACACATAACAGTGACCCATGATCCCCTGGAAGGAGACATTCTGATTCAAAGAAAAGAAAAAGAAATATCTTTACATTTCAAAGAGCAAAAAAACAAAGTCGGAAGGAGTAGATTAGCTTTTTAAGGGTTTTAATGTGGAACATTATACTTTTTTCCTTCACACCCACACACACTATTTGTTCCAAGCAGGGCTTCGTTTATATGTTTTAATACATGTCTGGAGGGGATCCCTTAACGATACTGTAGCTGCCATGCATATTTGACAAACATCGGCTAAAACATCACAGCACTGGGGCGGCTGTGGCTCAGAGGCAGAGCGGGTCGTCCCATTCGGTAAGGCTGTTGGTTCGCATCCCCGGCTTCTCCACTGCCACGTGTCGAAGTATCCTTCGAGCAAGGTACCTGAACCCCAAATGCTCCCTTGTGGAATGTGTATGAATGTGTTAGTTTCTGTTCGATGGCTTTGGCCCGTCGCTGTGTGAGTAAAATGTGTGTGAAAGGTGACATGTGGCACGTAGGTGTCAGAAGCGCTTGAGTGGCGGAAGACTAGAAAGGCGCTATACAAGATACAGGTCCATTTACCATTTTACCCATTTACCACTGTCCATCAATGTACTGTGAAATCATTGATGAATAGATTAAAATAGGACAGTTTACTTGCTTAAAAGGTCAAAACTGTGATAGAGTCTCAACAGTATTTATGGCTGGACTGCCACTTTTAATCACTTATATCCAAACCCACTGCTCCATGGGGTTAGAAGCTAAAAACATAGACCCAAAAAAGGAAAAGGAAAAGAAAATTCTACCAGCCAACAGGCTGGTCTGCCTGTCATGAAATATCAAGCATACTGCTAGAAATATTTTTAGATGATGTAGATGTAGATATTCCTTTACTAATAAAAATGTTTGACTCCTGCATCTTTCTATTCACCCATTTTACTTTGGTATCAGCTTCTTCACTGGCTCCATTGGCTCCCTGTCAGGTGACTCATTTACTGCTGACTAAGGTATTAAATGGCCTTTTGACAAACTGTATCACTGATTTGCTGACATCTTATCTGCCTGTGTGTTCCCTTATATCAGCGGACGGGGCTCTGGTGGTTATTACTAGATCTCAGCTTGAAACCTAGGGCGACTGGTTCGGGTCCCGGACTTTAGAACTTCTTTTAAACCAGTTCAGATCACCCGTACATTCCAATTTACATAACTTTGATGTCTAGATCCATGATTACTGTCTTCTGACTCCACCCATATGCACAGACTTAGTTGATTGGATGTCTGTAAGTGTGTAATCACAGTGGTCCACATTAAGTAGACAGCGGTACAGCAGCCACACCCCCTTTTTCAGCAAGCATGGCTGACCGTGAGTCACATTTTAATCAATTGATTATATTGTTAAATGACATCATTTGTGATTAAACTGTGTTTAAAGTA